CCAAAACAACCATGAGCTGAGGTAAAGCAGCTCAGTGCAGTGTCCTACGAGCCAGATTCTCCCGTGGAGCTCTGGTAAAGAACCACGTGGCAGAAACGGGAGCAAAGACCTCCAGGCACAGGTGGCTGTAACAGCTGCTCAAATGCTTGTGAAACTACTGCCCTCCACATCACACATGGGGAAGTTCTCTGAGAGGAAGTCTCCTTTCAGAGAAAAAACCCCACCCCCAATCAACACCAAAACTGGGGAAAAAGGTCCCCCCAGCACAAGTTTGCATCAGCCCATTTTATCTGTGTAGGCAATACGTTTTGATGTGGTATTGTGTCCTACACCTGGGGCATTTCGCAGAGAGGAAGCCATCCCACTTTGGGGCCGTAGGACAGAAAGTATGCTAGGCTATCAATAGAGAACCCAAAGAGAACTGCTAATTAAAAGGACAATGTACTACGATCGCATGGATGTCCGTAGGATAAACTCCTCGTTCCTGTAGGTGCCTGTCTCGGCACAGCTGCGGGCAGCAGCCGGCTCGACTCCGCCCGGCCGCGCCGTCGTGGGGCTCCGGCATTGGCCCGCCCGCAGCGCAGGAGGCCGGGCCCGAGCCCGCGCGGAGCCCGCCCGCCGCCCCGGCCCGCCGCCCCGGCCCCTCCGCGGCCCGGCCCGCACCCTGCGCTGCCCCAGCGGCCCGGCCCCGCCATTCCCTCCCCTCTGCCCGCCGCACTCACAGCGTGACCCGGGAGACGGCGATGCGGACGGGCACGCTGCGCTCCTTGAAGGCGGTGGTGATGAAGCAGCCAAAGGTGAGCGCCGCCATCACGCTCAGCGAGAAGGCGAAGAGCGAGTTGGCCCGGGACAGCACGGTGTTCATCTCCCCGCTGGGCCCGGCCGGGGCTGCGGCCGCTGCTCGGGCGGGGCGGGCGCGGCAGGAAGCGGGCGGGGGGGCGCGCGACCGCCGCGGGGGCGTGGCCGGGCCCGGCTGGGCGGGCTGGCGCGAGGCCACGCCCCTCCCGCCCTCCCGCCCCGCCCTCAGCGCGCCGGGGTTGTCCTTCTGCTGGATTTTTGCATTCGCGTAGTAAAGCGCAAATAAGGTTTAGGCGGCGGCTTGTATTTTCCCTTGGTGTCTGAGTCGTGCTTTCGCTGGTGGTGTTATTTGCCAGTCCCTCCCTTGCTTCCTTTAGGAGGTTCCTCTTCACGTGCTCATTATGTCAACCTCCTTGCCTGGAAATTTCCTTTAACAGCTGGGCTTGTTCCTGGAATCCTTTTCTTTGGTGTGCTGATCTCACACCGTTGGCTCACACTTTCACCTTACCCCACCAATTTGGTTGTAATTTCAATTTAAATTGGTACCAGCAAAGATCAGTTTATGTAGTGAGGTGATTCCTAACTCCTCCTGGGGCTCCTCTTTGGTGCCCATTCCTGCTTCCCGGTTGTGAAAAATGCGTATTTTATGACTGCCTCTTCACACTTAGTTTATGTATTATGGAGGGTTATTTTGTAATACTGTATTAATCCTTTTTAAGTAGCGTGTTAAATAGAGTTTTAGGTTACAACATCACGTTAAAATGTGATGTACGATGTTTTTTACTAGCTCAAGAAAGGGATAAGATGATCAAGAAAGTCTTTGCACAGAGATAACAGCAACAGGAAATCTAAAGTTACTGCCTCCTTATCAGAAAAGGCAAGCATTCTTCCACCTTCTCTCCATCTTTATGGAACCACTAGGATTAAGGGGAAGAAGTTGACACAAACCAGAAAAATTCTTAATTTGCAAGGAATTTATGTATCATGTACGAGATATATGAATATGCAACAGGCTATTGCTTTTAAGGGTTATTCCTTTGTTCACAAGGCATGTTTTTGGTAGCTTAGTGCCCAGAAACATCCGGACATCCATAATTCTCTGCTTTTTATTGTCTCGTAGTGTCCTAATCCTCATTGTCCAAATTTTTACTATTCTAATTTTATTGCTATTTTTATAACTGTTTTATTACTAATAAACTTTTAAAATTTTCAAAAACAAGTGATTGGCGTTTTTCCACGCCGGACCTGCAGCATTATCCATGTGAGAACCCAGGGGACTGAGAGCTTTTACAATGCTTTGGGGCGGATCTTTTTTGGTGTTCCCAACCGCTGTATTTGTCTGCATTAACTATACCAGGCTCGATTAAGGGGGATTTGTCGGGGCTGCCAACAGATGTCAGCAGTGATTCAGTTATGTTTAATTTTCTCTTCCCAGCTCTAAGATTCCAGTGCTGCAAATACTGGGAGTAGGAGCAGGAGCTCAGCTGCAGGAGTCTGAAAGGGTGGAAAGCCTCATGGTGACTGAAGGGATAGGCAGGAGAAGATGGGGAATGTCAGGCCATTCTGTGTTCTGTAATGATGGTACTCTTTCCTTTCCCCCCTGTAGCCAAGAGCCAGGTCTATGAGTCAGGGAAGAAAAGTCTTTGCAGATAAAGGTAGGAAATGGAAAAGGAGAAGGATCATAATGAGGTTTTTTGTTTGCCCCCAGACTGAGTACCTGCAGCACATGTCTGTTTAGCCTGTAGGATGTGATGCTGAAGACATTCCTTTGGGAACCTGTGTTTCACTGTGCAGTTGGTTTCTGTGTGCCTGTGCATTTGCCACATTGAAATCAGTCACACACCCAAAGAGGGTAGGCTGTTTTCTAGTTTGCATTTCCTAATTCTTGGCCTTTCTGCTATTTCATAAGAGTTTCAGCAGCACAGACTTTCTTGTGTAAAGATTTTTGTTGGCTTGTTATTATATTATGCTATTCCAAATATTAATTATTGTCATGTTTATGGTCTGGAACTTGTTACTGAAACCTAGGATTATTTTTACTGAAAAGTGGGTACTTTTCCCCAAAATAGTTGAAGACTTAGAAGCATTAATGGAACTTTTACTGTAAGCTGGGGAACCAAATAATTTCAGAAGTTATGTCTGCTGCTTTCAAAAGGATAGTTCAAATGTGAACACTGTTTTTTCTCATATCTACAAAAAAAAAAAAAGGCTTAGTCGCCTTTGTTCTTGCTTTTTGTTCATGGAGTTGCTATTTAGAATTTTTCATACTAAACAACTGTTTAATAAAAAAAATGGTTCTTGAGCAGAACTTACAGTAATTAAGTAGTGAAATTTTCAAAGCAGTAGTTAGGCACCAGCAAAAGACCAAAATCAAATGGCTTCACCAAATTAATGTTTTTTTAAGACATTGAATAAATATGGCTATTGCTTGTGGAGGTTTGGCTTTATTTTAGTAGAAACCTTAAATGAATGTCACATAAAAGCACAGTAAACAGGGGAAGATAGATGGTATAATTTATTCAGGGACTGATCTATTACTGTTTCAGAATAAAGAAACCTATAGCTTTTTAATGACTGAAATCTTGCAAAATCAAAATACGAAAATATCTTGAAATCAGGCAGTTCTGTTAGAAGAAAGGGAGACAATTATTCACAATAGCTGTTTGCTCATAAGTTCTAGATTGTTCTTTGAAAGATATAAAATCTAATATTTCGTGAAGAATAGTGACATAATATTAATGTCAAAAGTCGCTGACAGCTAAATAAGTTGTGTTACTGGGAATTGAGCAAATAGTATAATTATGGAAACAAATTTAAAGGAACTTGGGGAAGCTGAAAGGTTTGGGAGACCATTTCCGAGATGCAGTGGAATGGTATTCATTACACCCAAGCAGCATCCTTAAGCCCAGACCAGACCAGGCATGTCAGTGTTCAGTCTGGCTATTACTTCAAGAAATGTAATATTTTTCATTACAAACTCGTTGAAAAAAATGCAGAGATAGGCTTGGCAGCAGGCCTGAAATGTAGAATTTGCCATCCTTCTCCAGTCCTCACCCTAAAATTATCTGACTTTGAAAGTGAGTTTTTGTGCGCTCTTTGATCTATTAAATATGTGTTCTTTTTTTTTATAGTGACGGCACTTCAACAGGATTGATCCTTGTCAACAGCTGCTGATTAGTAGTCTTTTGAGAGAGAGTAGCTTGCTTTCTTTGGTTGATGTGTTTCTACTCTGATCTTCAAGTTACCAAGCGATTCCTTTCATCATCTGTAAACAAAATAGCAAGTGTTGACACTGACCATCAGCAGAGATTGCTATGAGTTCTTTGTTTCCCACTGAAGTCATATTGGTTCTAACATGGAACACACAGATGGAAGCTTTGAGGTGTATGTTGTGACTTTCAAGTGAAAGGGAGGTGTTAACTTCAGCCCAGCACCTTTAGCCTTCTTGGGGCTTAATTTTCCCACTAATTTTACAGGTGAAAGTTTAGGTGCCTGTGGCATCTTTGGCACCTGAACAGATGAGGACCTGCTTTTTTATTTTTGATCTAGGGACATGTATGTCCTTCCTTATTTTTTTTTTTTTTTACCATGAATTCTATTTGTCCTTTATTAATTGTTGAAAAGTTAATTATTTAAGACACCATAGTAGCACACAGCCTCTTAGGCAGCTCTGGGTAGAAAGATAAAGATTAAAATAAATGCGGCCATGATCAGCTGTCTCTTGCAACAGCCCCCTTTCAGTTCACAACTCTTCTGGATGGCTCATTTTTACAGCTGGTGTGGAAAGGCTGTGACTAAGAGAAGAGGCTTTTTGGACTGCATTTGATTCTAATGTTCTCCTCACCTCCATTTTTTATACTTTGGATCTACACTGTATGCAAAATAAGAAGATAAGCAAGAAGAAATTTTCACTTGTCTTTGTAGTATTATTGTGAATCCTTTAGCAAGAAAATCTCAGGGAATTTTTAATTTCTGATTTCAGAATTAAGTTGATATTATACAACATTGTCTCATTTAGTGGCATAATATATAGCAAAATTAAAGCTGCATCACAAAGAGAACCAAATATTCTTGGCTCCAAAGTCAGTATGTCTTGGAGCCTAACATAAATTAATTTTTGGCTTCTGTGAGGTTTGCCCATTTCATGGCCTATAAAGCCAGGTTAGGTAAATTCATTCAAACGTTTCTGATTTAGCTTAGCCTTTCTCACTTCATTGTGCTTTCCATTCTGGGCTAGAAGCCTGAGTGCTACTGCTCCACCTCAGCTGGGTTTTAACCTCATTCACTCAGCCAGTTGCAAGTCTTCATCACAAGGTATTTTTATGTCTCTTGTAAAAGCACCCAGCAGACCCTTGTCGTGCCTCAGCTTGAAGAAAAAGATATTTAACTAGCTCTGTCATGGTGATATAATTTAGCTGATACCAATTTTAGTGGATGGAAAAAGCCTTTCTGTTATGAGCACTAGCCATGGGAGTCAGCATATAATGACATAAGCTTACAGAATAAACTTTAAACTCTCATCCCTACTATTGATTGTGTAATTTCCTTTTATTAACAACATTCTAAGGTACCAAAATATGCTTTACACGGAAAGAAGAAAAATTAAACCACTTGACCACTTCTACTTAGTCAAGAAGAAAACCTGACAACGTTTGAAGAAAGGGGGAATAAAAGTAAATGGATGACTTCACTGTTTTGAGAAACAAAAATTATTTTTCGAAAAAAAAAGTTAAACAGCTAAAGAAAAATTTAAAGACAGCCTGTAATGTAGAATAAAATTAACAATTTTAAAAGGAATTCAAATTGATGACAAAAGAGTCACAGCTCAAATACTGTTTTTATTTAGAGGCATGTATTTAATAAGAACCTGTGACATTTTTGCTGTTAGTTGAAGAAAAGATTAGCTATTAAAAACTGCAAAAATAGCAGGTTTAGTTACACGAATTTAGGTTAATAAGGTGGTTGCACTGCCTACTAGAGAAAGAGCAAAGTTAGTTTGTCAAGCTAGTTGAAATACCAAAAGCATTGGTTCTGTGGTACCACAATTGGAAGAGGTTGAGTTAATCGCCACAGAGTTCTGTAGACATGGTTAGCAATGAAAGAAGTCACTTGGACCCAAGAAAGGAAGTATACAAAGGGAAAGAGGTGCGAAATT